TAGTTTCTGGTCCCTGAGTGTTAGTTTTGGCTCTTGTCCTCAAAGGGAAGAGAATCTTTTCTCCCTGAAAGAAATCTTATCTCCCTGGAGAAAAACTCAGAAGATCCCCTTCTCTAAATAGGATATATATAAATATATACACACATTATGTATCAGGCTCTTGATTCTAGAAGAGGGAGTCTCGGGCCCTTGAAGGCAGGTTTAACACCCTTAAGAAAGTCTCAGACTCCACTGCTGGGTGGTCCTGGGCTGTGTCCCTCTGAGAAGGAACCAGGTGGGGGGCGGGGTGGTTGTCCTGTACAGATGGTATCAGACCCCTGAAAAGGATTTGGGTAACTCGGGAACGCTCAAAATTCCCCTGAGGTCTCCACCTTACCTGTGCTCCCTGGAGGAGGAGTCTTAGACCTTTATCCCAGAAGAAAGGAAATCTCAAGGCACGGAACACAAACCAAGGTCCCTTGGAGCCATGACTCCCCTCTTGGGAGGCAATCCCACCTAATGGTCCTACATGATGAGGTCTCAGGGCCCGAATGATGGCTCTGGGTCGGTCCCAGAAGAGACCACAGACTCAATCCTTAAGTCCGCCATCTTATTTGGGGACTCTAACCCCCAAGTCCTTGGTGGGGGGTGGGGAAGAGTGTCCCTCGGGCCCCCACCACCAGAGAATGCCAGAATCCGGGAGAAGACGTAGGTCCCTTGGGACGGTCTCAAACAGCCTTCCTGGAGTCCCTACCCAGGCTGGGGAATCCCACCCGCCATACCCACTCACCTGCTACCCCAGCCCATACCTGCTCAACGGTTGCGGGGTCCATAGCCTCGATGCGAGCTGCAGCCGCCTCATACTCGTCTTCACTGTTATAACCTGCGCCGACCTCCTCACGCTCTGGACTGCCCCCTCCAACCGCTCCGACCCCGGGTGCTTGACGCCGCCGCTTGCTATGGCCCGGCCCGGAGCAGCAACCGCCAACGCCTACGGCTCCGCCCACGCCCACCACCACGCCCGCCGCGCCCACACCCGCCGCGGCTGCACCCAGCGCGTCACCTGGGCCGCCGCCGGGACCAACAGGGCCCCCGCATGGAGGAGGAGAGGCCTGCTGTGGCCGCGGACCCGCCACGGCGCCAGGCGGCACGGCCAGCGCCCAGCGGTGAAGCGCTCCCGGAGGCCCCGGTAGCGGGCCCTGAGGCGGTGGCGAGGCCCGAGGACGGGCCCCCACGACGCCCGAGTCACGATCGCGGTCGCCACCCCCCACACCCGTGCCGCCGCCGCCCACGCCCACACCCCCGCCGCGGCGCGGCGCCGGGGGCAGCGGCCCGGGCGGCGGCGGTTCGTTGGCGGGGTCGGCGTCGGGAGGCGGCGGCTTCTTTTTGGGGAGAATAGTCATGGCGGCACCGCCAAGTACCCCCCAGCAAACCCGGCGCGGGGCACGCTGGGAGAGAACCCGGATGAGGGGGCTACTGTGGTGCGCGAAGCACGATGGGATCGGCGGGACCCGGATAAAGAGATTGTAGCACGGGTTCGAGAACGGTCGGTGGCGCGCGGGTCACGCGGCAGGAGAACCCGGATGTTAAGTCCTAGATGAAGGCACCGCAGCGGGTTTGTCGTAGTCTTCTCTCCAAGTCCAACAAGTTTATTGCTACACTCGCTCCTTCCGGCCTGCTGCTTCAAAAGAAACAGAACCAAAACAAGCACCTCTTCGCCCCGCCCCCTCGCAGGTTCTTGAACTACCGGGTGGGGTCCCTGGGCCCTGCGCAAGCGCGCCAGGGCACGGCCCCGCCTTTCGTTCGGAAGTACGTGGGCAAAATCTTCGCCGCCGCCACAACAATCGCGGGCACCAACCAATCGAAGCAGCTGCGTGGGTCCTCGATGACGCCCACGGACCAATCAGATGCGAGCGATCGCCCTCCCGTGCTCTCTGTCTCAGATTTCAGTCAAAGTCGGCGCTCTCGTTCTTTGCCTTTATTCTCGTCCGCCCCGTCGCGTTCTTCTCTCCCCGAGGTTCTGACTCGCGGGCGGGGTACTAGTACAGGACGGCGTAGCCGACCCCGTGCACGACAATTTTAAAAGCGCCTCGCCGCCAGACTTCCAACTTGGCCGCAGTCGGCTGGACTGACTGGAAAATATCAACACTCCCAGAGAATAGCCCTCCCCTGAAGCGTCAGTTCCGGTCCCACCCACCTGCAAATCCACGTCTAGTGGGGAGGCGGGCGCCACTTCACCCTGGTAACAGGCCGAGTTCTGCGGTGACTGGTTAAGAGAAGTTGTCACTCACTTTGGGCCGGCCAACCCTGGGGCAGAAGTGCACCGTGGGGACCTTGGGTGTTTGGGAAGCAGACACGCCTTCCTTGGCTCCGCAGTGCTCTCGCCCTCGCGTTGACCTCCCCGCCCCTGTGGCTAGTGCGCAAGCGCAACACGCCTTTCCGACGCCCCCGCCCCCCTCAGCAACTGCGTTTACCTGGATTGAGCAAAAGTTTATGAACCAGCGCTGTCACCAGTTAGTGCTTTGCAAGGGGGTTGGTAAAATCCCTGGTACTGAACAGTTGGAGAGCTACAAGCTAATCGTAGCTCTGCCCCTTCTGTCTGAGGGCTCTTTGGCAAGTCATTTAACATCCACCCCATCCGCAATTTTTCAAAAGAATTTATTTATTTTTCTAGTAATTGCTGTACCCAGAGTGGAGCTTGAACTCACAACCCCCGAGATCGAGTCCCATGCTCTTAGGACTAAGCCAGCCAGGCGCCCCTATCTGCAATTTCTAATCCTCTGTAACATGACAATGGTAATTATGATTTAAGGATCAGTGATTAATGCCTGCAAAGGGTATAGTGCTGTGCCTGGCACATAGTAAGTGCTCAATAAGTTAGTTTGAATGGCAGTGCAAGGAAAAGGATCCCAGGGTTTGGAGTCAGGAAGACCTCAGTTCCAGACCCTGATGGACCGTTACCAATTGTATGATCTTGGGCGAGTCACTGTGTCTTAAATTTGAGGTTACCCGTGGAAAATAGGAATGATAATGCCTGCCCAGACTACCTCAGGGAATAGTTATGGCGTTCAGATGGGTTTATGAATCAAGAAGTTGTTTTGAGAGGTGAGGGCTTGCTGCCGGTCTTGTGAGTCAAGTTGTACATGTTGACTGAAAGATGATTAGAAAGCTCTTCTGAGTGCCATCTAACCTTGTTCCTTCAGATGCTGACCTTGGTTGAAGTTCTTCCTTGAAGGGTGTCAGTTACAAATGGCATGTTGTGTTTTCTGCTCTGAAGAATTCATGAGACAGGACTCAAGTTTCCTGGGCCTACTGTGTTCAGGGCACTATGCCAAATGCCTAGGCATATTACCATATTGAATCTTCTCATGATCCTCTCACTTGATCTCTATTTCCTACTAGATATTTGTCCAGCATTACATGTCTAAAATTGAATTTAGGATAATCATTGTAGCTAATCTTCACAAAGTACTTTCTCTGCGCCTGGCACTCTGTGCTAACAGCTTTGATGTTCCTTTTGACAGTAAGTGCCCCCCACTCAGCCTTTGCCCAAGCCAGAACCTGGGAGTCAACCTTGTCTGCTCCCTCTTCCTCAACTCCCACATGCCTGTCAATCCCAAGTCCTGTCAATTCCACCTCTCAAACCTCTTAACTCTCCAACTCTTACCACCACTACATGGTCCAAGCCACCATCACCCACCAAGTGGACTACCACAGGAGCCTCCTCACCACCCTTCCTCCCGCCAGGACTGTTTCTCTAGAATCCACTGTCCACAGGCAGAGCAATCCTTCTGAAATGCAAACCTCATGATGACTCTCCTGTCTACAAGCCTTCAGAAGTCCCCGTTATCCTTAGGATAAAGTCCAAAATCTGTATCATAGCTTCAAAGTTTTTTTTGTGATCTGGCCTATCTCCACATCCCTACTCTCACCACAGCCTCACTCTCTCCTCCCTAGCTGAACCAAACTAATTTCAGTTCTCCGAAGGCCCCGAGCTTGCCCCCTAACCTCCAGGTCATTGCACATGCTCTCCTGTCTGCCTGAAACTTTTATCCTTTTCCCTGGCTAAATCCACCTCATTCTTTGGGTGTTGGCTGGATTAGGTCCTCCTGCCATCTGCATGCTTCTGCAATCCCGTCAATCTTAGTTCCACAACACTAGACTGTAATTGCTTAATTGTCTGCCCTCCATGCTCACCTCTGTCAATCATAGACGATGTCTACGTTGCCCATCTTTGTATCCCTAGGGCTAGCACATGGTATGCGGTTAATAAATATTTGGTGAATAAATGGTTATTATTTTACAGATTAGCAACCTGAGGCAAGAGAAGGTTGAAGTGACTCTCTCACCCGGGGCTTGGAACCCAGGTCAACCCCAATCCAAGGTCTGTCTTCTTGGTGCTCCACAAAGCTCAGTCACACACTAGCCAAGTGTATCCAGTAGCCCAGCAGAGACAGTGCAGGGGATGTCCACAAGGAAGGGTGAGCTGCCAAACTTGAGAGATGCTTTCTTTCTTCTTCTTCTTTTAAAATATTGAGTTCTTTTTTTTTTTTTAAGTAAGCTCTAGGTCCGATGTGGGGCTTGAACTTAGGAACCCGAGATCAAGAGCGGCATGTTCTACTGACTGAGCCAGCCAGGTGCCCCTGAGAGATGCTTTTAATTAGGAATCAGTTCAGAGCCATTGGCTGCCAGGAAGCCTGGGGTTTAAGTCTCCTCTGACCAAGTGTGTGCTGCTTTGGGTCTCAGTTTCCCCACCTGTGAGTAAGAAAGCTGGAGCAGATGAGTCCTAGGGGCATAGCTCAGGGCTTCCTGGCCTGCCTCACTGGCTGTAGATTCAGCTCTTCAAACCACCCTCTTTAATTCCTCCTAGATCCCCATCTTCCAGAACATGTCACCAACCACTGACCTCCCAGAACCTGGACCGCAACCTGCCCTTCTCCGGTTGAAAGGAATTGAAACCAGTGTACATTCCACACCCCCCAGCCTGACCCAGCCTCCAAATTCACAGAGCCAGGAGGTACTCATCCTCATCTCTCCTCTCAGGTTTTATTGACTGATGGAAACTACATCTTTGTCAGCCACCAGCTCCACGGGGACAGTGCTGGGGACAGGGAACCTGAGATGATGCCAGATTTCAGCCTGAGAGCAGACACAGAGTTCTGGAAGGTGACCCAAGAGGGAAAAGAGAGAGGAATATGTGAAAAGGCCTTGCGGGGGAGGAGGAGGAAGAGATCAACAAGTTCCTCCTGCCCCCTACAACTCTCAGAGTTTAGGAACAACCCAGGCCCCAGCCCCAACGCTTCTGGACTCCGGCCCAAGAACTTGGAATCATCTATGATCTCCAAACACAGCCCAGCTCTCACTGACTGATAGGCTCTTATCTCAGCCAGTCCAGACTCCAGCCCAACCCAAGAGGGAAGCAAACCAGGGGAGAAGGGGGCGGAGGGGTTGGAGGTGGCCCCCCTGGTTAGGGCAGATCTAAATACTGCAGCAGCCTGGGCAGAGCCTTTGCATAACATCACAGCAGCAGCTGCTATTGCTAGAGTTTGCTGGGGGCCCAGCACAGGACGGGGTTGCAGGGACCCATTTCCAGCAGCCAGGAAAGGGGAGTGGTGTTTGTGCTATCTGTGTGTATTGGGAGAGGCAGTCTGACCCCTGAGCCAAGGTGGGGGGTGGCAGGTCACTGCTGAGGCCACAGCCCAGGAAGCCTGTGGTTGCATTCCAAGCTTCAGAATCAGGGAGCTGTTGGGCTCAGTGGAGGGTGGGGAAAACTCCTAGAGGCCAGCTCCAAGGTGAAGGTTCTCTTCTCTGAACCCCCAAACCTCCACAGCCCAGCCAGAGAGAAGAGGGAACCTCATCTCTCCTTCTCAGGCCAGAGCTGAGATGTCAGGTGGGAGCCCCAGGGGCCCAACAGGAGGAGCATGCAGGAGGCCAGCTAGGGGAGAGAGGCCAGCCCCAGTGTGCTGGGGCAAGGAGGCTGGGGGGTCTGAGGAAGCCCAGCACTTCAGCAGCCCCCAGGACAAACTGTCGGGGGTGGGGAAAGTTTCCCCTTCCCTGGCTGCTTCCCCATCAGGTGAGCCGTTCCATCAAACTCCATTGCATAGTTCTCAGTGGGGGGAGGAGGGGCAGAAGGGGTCCCCAGGCCTGTCCCTCCCTGCCTCCCCAAAATATGGCTTTGGAAAGGAGTCCCCAAGAATCGAGAGGGCCCTCTGGATGGGCGGACCCACCGCTCACAGGGAAGAGATCTTGACAGTCTCCGGGAGGAGGCAAGGGGTGCCCAGGCTGGAGTTCCTGAGGGTGCTGCTGGCCCCACCGCCACCACCAGGGGAGGAAGGTTGGCTCTCATCTGGGGTGTTGGCAGGAGGGGTAGGGATACTGATGATGGCAGCCACGAAGTCCCGGCTGTCGCAGTTCAGGTCGAGGCTGTCGTGGGGCTTGGCATTGAGGCTTGAGCGGCTGTGCATAAGGGTGGGAGGTGGAAGCGTCTTAAAAGGTGCTCTTAATACTTGCTACAGCAATCGTGACATGTATTGAGTGCCTGTTGGGTCTCTGGCTCTGTTCTAAATGCTTCGCCTCCATCCCCTCATTATGGCGGTGCCCAGTGAGTGAGTGCCCTGGGGTCAGGTGGTCCTGGGTTGAAATCCCAGTCTTACCTTGGCCCCTCTAAATACCTCTTCTCTCTTTCATCTGTAGCATGGGAATAACAGAGTTGCCTACCTCGTAGGGTCCTTGCAGAGATTAAATGAGATAAGAAGTGCTATAAAGTGCTCAGCCCAGAACATAATGAGCACGCATGGAAATACCAGTATTTCTTACCTCATAGGGTCACCGTGGAGATTAAATGAGATAAAAAGTGCTACAGAGTGTTCCACATAGTGCCCAGAGCATACATACATAAGGAGCATACATACCAGAATGTTCTCCATCATGGTTGCTCCTTACGATGCCAGACCCTCATAACAATCAGTGTAAGAGTTACATGACCTGGTCCTGTTCCTTTCTGATTTGGCTTCCCACAACTCTCCCCCTCACTCACTCCACTCTACTCACAGGAGCTTCTTGGCTGTGTCTCTAACACGCAGATCCATTCTTGCCTCAGGGCCTTTGCACAGGCTGTTTGCTCCCTCCCTCATCTTCTTCTGGTGTCACCTCAGCAAAGCTTCTCCATACCCCATTCTACACCCTGTCCCCCATCCCCAGTTTATTTTTCTTCTTGGTACTTAACACACCTCATTGTGTACGTGCTTGTTTATTAACGGTCTCATCCCACTAGAATATAAATTCCAGAATGTCAAGGAGCTCTGTCTGTTTACTTTGCTGTCTGAAATGAACTCAACTTGTAAACTCCTACAGTGAACTCCAAAGTGCCTGAAAGTGTGCCTGGCATATAGTAGGTGCTCAATAAATGTTGGCTGAAAGAACCAACAAAGAACAAGTTCCAGGCAAGAGAAGCCCAAGTTCCCCACATAGAGGAGTCCGAGCTTGAGCTTGGCTTGCTGGGCCAGAAGTCAGGACATCTCAGACCGCCATCCCCTGCGCACCCCACCACCCGGTCTCAGCTCTGAGCTTCCCCCAGGGGTAGCCAGCAGGTGGGGGTGCTTACCTCTGAGGGGCAGGGCTTCTCCGCAGCCCTGCCAATGTGTCCAGCTCCTGCATGCTGCCACGACTGACTGAGGCCGTGGAGTTGGCAAGGCGAATGGCACGGCGCTTGGCCCTGCGGGGACAGCAGGAGGACAGCAGGCTGCCAGGCCCCACTGCCTGGGAGGACACGGAGGTGCTGCGGCTGGTGCGGCCCCCCCAGTGAGACAGCACCCAGAGCCTCACTGAAGGTTAGCTCATCTGTGAACTCATGGCACTGTGGGCAGAAGGGAGACACGGTCACGAGGCAGCACACGGGAACTGACCCCAGCCCTCGGCCTTTGCTGAGGCCGCTCCCTCCTTTCTGGAAGTATCTCTTGCTTCCCTTCCTCTGCCCACCCTTCAAGGCTCAGCTGTACTGGGGCCTCTTCCAGGAAGCCCTGTGGGATTTCCACAATCAGTAGTGAGCCTCCCATCCCAGGGAGAGAACTGGCTGGGCTGCGGAGGAAGGCCCCTCCTTCTGTCGCACCCCCCCACCCCGCCTTTAGGCCTCACCGTTGTCTTCTCTAGACAGTGAAGGAGGTGGTGATGTTGTTGCTCGAAAGCAGAACGGTTCCGGACACACAACGCCTGTTCCTCCCCACTGCTGCTGTCCTGGGGTGGACGGAGCAGAGGGACGAGGTCAGAACCTTCCTCCTCCCGCCACTTCTCCCCCGCCACCCAACCCCAAGGCAGGCCCCTCCCCACCTCAAGGCCTCCGTTCTGCTTGTACTGTAGGAAGGCATTGGTGGTACCACTCTTTGCCAACCGGATCCTTGCCAAGCGCACCTTCTACAGAGAAGGGAGGAGACAAAGGGTCAGGTGGGTAGACACAAGAGCAGACTGGCTTGGGGCACGGGGAGCAGGAGGTACTCTGAGGGAAGAGGCTGTTACCTGCTGTGCTCGGCGCTTGTCAGCACGCTGGTTCTGGTGGTAGATGCGGCTGAAGTTGGACACAATGACCGGCACAGGGAGCGCAATGACCAGGACACCGCTGAGGGAGCAGATGGATCCGAAAATCTTGCCAGCAATGGTGCTGGGCACCATGTCTCCATAGCTGGGGGCAGGGGAGGGAAGCCGAGGTTAAGAAGAGTGCCCACACACCCCTCAGTCTCCCACACCATCCCATCCAGCCCAACACACTCTGCGACCCTGGCCGGGCACTGAAACTCTCTGAGCCTCAGTTTCCCGCTCTGCAAAATGTGGGGAAAGACCTCTCTGGCCACCAGTGGGGGTCAAGGGAGAAACTGGCCCTCGGCCCCTACCATCTGCTGCCCCCATCTGAGTTGCACACAGAGCATCTGAGTCAGCTGGAAATCTATTAATACCAAACAGAGGAGAGAAGGAGGAAGTCAGAGGCAGTAAATATAGTCTCCTGGGGAGAAAGTCCAAGCACCACAAGCCAGCTGAGGGGCTCTGAGTCCTGGGAGCAGTGCTCTGTTGGTTTTGCTTCCATCTGTCTTACCTTCTCTAGGTAGGACCCCTTCTTATTACCCCAGAAGAAGCCTTGAAACTCTCCTCCCATGAAAAAATAGGGAGAGCCTTGAAACTCCCTCCTCCCTTTTCTTCATGCCATCTCCTCTTCCCTGGGGATGGAGCAATGCCAATCTTACCCACTTGTGTCACGGGGTCGGGGTGGGGGGAACCCAAGCTTAGGGAGGTTCCACAGCTGACTTGCTCGAGATCGCCCAGCATACTTTTGTTCTGAACACGGGACCAGTGAGATCCCCTCCCCTCTGCAGTCCCAGCCTCTAGGCCTTCTCTCAGTCCTTGTCGCCCTCCCCCCCAAGGATGGCCGTTCCTTATTTCTTTGACTCATTTAAAAGTCTCTCCAACTTGGCCATTTCTGGTCTGTGATGTGTCATCTCAGACTGTGTCCTCAACTATGAGACACAGGCAGCTGTCCACCCTCTCAGGGTTGCTGTGAGGACTCATTAGGGTAAAAGGCACTCAAGAACCCGGTTCCAACCCACTCTCAGGGCTCAGTATTTGTATGTCAATCCAATTCTGAGCCTCTAACCAGAATTAATTTCTACTCCTTAGAAACCCGAAAGCCATTTCTCTGTAGCTCTGCTAAAACCCCAGCGAGCCCCCTTCACCCATTCAACAGATCCCAAGCAACTGTACACCTAATTCCAGCAATGGAAATTTAGAGAAGGAGCATGGTATGTGCCCTAAACAATGTCTTTAAGAACAACATGAATTTGGTGATTCTGTCTGATGCCTTTATCCCAACTTGTTCCCTCTCAAGGATTGACAGTAAAAAAATAATGCTGAAAATACCTCGACCTGGAGAACATCAAGGAATCACAATGTCACAGAGGTAGGACCCTATACGGCAGATGATTCTGGAGGTTTGAGAGACATGGGTCCTCAAGGTGGGAAAAAGGAGGTGGTGGAACGCCAGTACCTAGGTATCCTACACCAGAAACTTTCAGAGAACTTTCACAACCGTGAGGTCACAGAATCCCCTCTAGATGACGAAGGGATCAACATTTCTCATTTGCCACAGGGGGGAAACAGGCCTAAAGAGAACAAGGTCAACAGAAAGAGTGCAGCTAAGACAATCCTTGGAACCCAAGTCTCCTGACCTGGACAGTGAAGGCATTGTCAGACCTGCAAGGGATTTGGAGATTAGTCCAACTCCCTTTGTTTTCAGAGAAGAGCAGGCAGAAGAGCAAATCGAGAAAAAAAGAGATATTACTCTTACAGAGAAAGGTGAGTGTAACTGATCGGGCAGCTCCCAACACCGGGTCTGCACTCACCCGAGGGTGGTCATGGTGACAATGGTATACCAGAAGGCCGCAGGGATGCTAGTGAAGTTGGTCTTGTTTGTGCCCTTCTCAGCATAAAACATGACCGTGGCGAAGATGATGATAGCCATGGTAAGGGAAAAGAGGAGAAAGCCCAGCTCAGAGGCACAGCTCTTGAGTGTGTAGCCCAGAATCCGCAAGCCCTGCGAGTGCCTGGAGAACTTGAAGATGCGGAACACCCGGAATACACGCAGGGTGACAAAGGCGCCCGAGACATCCTCGTTCTTGGGCACGAAAAGCCCGATGTAGTAGGGCAGGATGGCCACCACGTCGATAAGGCTCATCACACTCCGCAGGAAGCGGCACCGGCTGGGGGCGGCGAAGAGCCGCAGGAGGTACTCGCCCGTGAATATGAGCACGCAAGCCGTGTCCATGCAGAAAAAGGCTAGGGGGAAGCGGTCGCCGCAGGGCTGCTCCCTCGGGGGCCGCCGCGTGGGGCCGCGGCACGGGATGGTCTCCACCACGTTGGCAATGACCGACACAGCGATGAAGAAGCCTGTCACGTAGTAGAAGACGAGGGCCGCCGTGCTCGTGTGCGGGTTCTCGAAGGCCCGCCAGAGCCGCTGCCGCAAGGAGCTGCCGGCAGGCAGGGCAGGGCCATCGCCCGCCTGCTCCGCCTCCTCGTCCTCCGCCAGGCGCTCGGCGTTCTCCTTCTTGCGGTCCCGGTACTCTTCGAGGCAGCAGTCGCCCACGAGCTCCGGCACCAGACCGTAGAAAGCCAGCTCTTCGTCGAAGGCCTGGATGCACTCCTGCCGCGGGCAGTGCAGGCGGCCCGTGCGGTAGAAGTTCAGCACGTGCCGGAACATGTCGGGGTCGCGATCGAAGAAGTACTCGCCCGAGTCCGCGTCATAGAAGAATTCCTTCTCCGAACTGCCTAGCAGGGTGTCTGGGTAGCGGTCCAGAGTGTTCTTCCAGGTCTCGAAGCGCCGGCCACTCACGTTCACCACCAGAACCTCATCCCCTCGAGACGCCTTCACCCCGGGCGCAGGAGGCAGGGGCTGCTGGGCCAGGGGCAACCAGCCCACCGCAGCGGCCCTCGCGAAGGGCAGCCACGTGGCCACGCCGGCCGCCATCCTGCCGCGCCCCAGGCCCACGGAGACTCGGGGCGGGGGAGGGTGGCCTTTAGGAGAGTGTGGCTGTCTCCAGGATGCTGGGGGCTTGGAGAGGCCCTGGGCCACTCGCACAAGCAAACTGGGGGTGTCTACAGAGGCCGAGAGGAACCAGGAGGAACTAGAGAGACGGGTAGGGCCTTGGGGGGCATTTAGAGGATCCAGGGGGGACTTGGGGGATGTCTTGAGGGACCAACCAAGGAGGAGCCAGGGGACATGGAAAGGAGCAGAAAAATGGCACCTGGAGGGGCCAAGAAGGAGCCTAGGGAGTGTTTAGAGCAACTGAGAGGGCTCTGGAGGGGTCAGCATGTGCCTGGGAGATGTATGGGGTGTCTAGGGGGCAAGAAACACGGGAGAGTTGCCCACACTCTCAAGAGTTCTGAGGGAAGATGGGGCTGGGACCCCTTAGTGGGTGTGGAGAAGGGGCTGGGGCATCCAGAGAGGTGGAAATGGGACCAGAGGTGTTTAAAAGAGGCTAAGAGTGTCCGGGTGCGGGGGGGGGGGGTTCTAGAGGGGCCGAGAAAACTGAGATGGGTCGTCTGCACCCTCAAGACTTCTGGGGAAAAGATTAGGGGACTGGAGCTCCCTCATGGATCCAGGAAAGGGGTTCGTGCAAGGAAGAGGTGGCTATAGAACCAGAAGGTTGTAAAGAGGCTGCGAGGTGTCTTGGGAGTGCCTAGAGCAGCCAAGAATAGCCTGAGGGGGGGTGTCTACACTCTACAGGAGTTCTGGGGAAGGCAGGCCAGGTGAGGCCCCCTAGAGGGACTGGAGAAGGGAGTAGGGCATCTGAAGGGTTAGATATGGGGCTAGGTTATTTTTCAGAGCCTGAGAGGTGTCTGGGAGGGAGGGGTATGTAGTGCTGCTGAGAAAGTCTGGTCCACCCTCTCAGGAGTGCCTGGGGGAGGAAAGGGGCCCGAGGAAGCCCCTTGGGACTCAACTGGAAGTTGGGCACAGCCCCAGAGCACCCAGAGGCTGGATAAAGACTAAGATAAGAGGAGGGGGTCCCTCCAAAATGGGCCGGAGGGCGGGGTGGGATGTTAAAGGGAGCTGGGTGTGTCTCAGGGGAGGGGGAGGTTGGCGGGCCTTGCGGAGGGGCGGGTGTGCGGATGGGGGAGGCCGGGGCGAAGCTGTGTCCCACCGTTAGGGGCTGGTCTGGGGAAACCACACCCCGAGGGGCTGGCGGTGTGTGCTGGGCAGTGGAAGCAGCGGCGGCAGAAGAGGAGAAGCAGCCACAGCCAGGCCCGGGAGAGAAGGCAGCGCAGACAGGCAGGGGGAGGGGGCTGGGTCCCTGGAAGGACGAGGTCCAGCAGAAGCCCTGGGGACTATCCCAGGATGGGCTTGGGAGTGGGGGCTGGACCAGGGAAGGACAAGGACAGCGCTGTGGGTGGCCCCCTCCCCCTCCCCAAATGGCCGTCCTCACCTGTGTCCCCGCTGCAGCAGCGGCCACAGCGTTGGGGCTGGGGGTACCAAACACCGGAGCTCCTGCCCCCCTCTGCAGAGCTGCCTGAGTTCTCCTCCTCCTCTGGCTCTCTCTCCCCGCCCCTCTGAGCTTGCCGGGAGCTACAGAGAGAGGTAGGGAGGGGCCTCGTAGCTCCCAGAGCCCCCTCCCCTAGGACAGCCTGAGAGGGACCCTGGGGAGACTCCGCCTCCTACAAAGCTGGTTGGGCCTCAGTCGCGTCATCTGGAAAATGGGGGTGGCAGGGAGCTCTGCCAGTTCTCCCCACCTCCTTCCTGGACTCCCCCCTCTTCCTGCCCAGCTCCTACCCCCTCTGCCCCCAGGGGCCCCCACCCCCACCCGTCTGAATCAGCAGCACTTAGCAGATCCGATCGATGGGGAGTCGTCCGTTAATGGCCCCAGAGCCCAGTGCCATGTGGAATGATGCAGCGCTGTGTCCCCTCCCTGCCCCCATGCTGGAGAAGGGCTGAAGAGGGTGGATGGAGGGACGGGTTGGGGGGGACATTTCTCTAGATGGCCAGGCCCCCAAAGATGTTCTGGGGGGTGGGTGCATGGTTTAGAGCCCAGCTCCGATCAAGACTGTTGTTGTGGGACTGGAGCACCATCCTGGTTTCAGACGTGAAATAGGGGGTAAGGGGGGTGTGGATGGGGGCAACCCAGGTTGGGGACAGGCATACCACGTTGTCTCCCTGGGGGTCCCCACTCTGAGGGGCAGCCTGCCTCATCCTTCCGCATTCAGCAGCCTTAGTTCACACCTCCTCCTCTAGAGGACTCTGCTCCCTGGTGGCACAGAGCACTGGGTACCGAGTGACTCGGCCCACAGATGAGTTCAAACCCCAGCTTTGCTACTGACTTGCTGTGTCCTTTAGCAAGTGCCTTGGGTTGTATCCTCGGTTGTCTGATGGAGTTACCCCAACTTGATAGTGTCATGGGGAGCATTAAATGGAGTGATGTGAGAAGGGACAGCACTGGGCACTGTGTACAGGGAAGCCTCATTTTTAATAAAGGTGTGGTGCGAGCACTAAGGGGGGACCAACTTTCCCCTTTCAACCAATCTACCCATCCGTGTAAGCCTCAGTTTGCTCACTAATCACGCTCCTGATTTGTCCGTTTCTCCATCCCTCCACCCATCCACCATGCAGCTCCCCATCCGTTCTCCCACCCACACAACCCAGTGCTCTACCCATCCCTCCATCCACTTGCTCGCTCACCCATTTGCATATTCACCCCATCCACCTATTTGCCACCCTATCCTTAAGTACCTCTGGCACCCATCCACCTGTCCATCCATAGCCCTGCCCATCACTTACCTAACTCTTCACCCTTCCTCACCCATCCATCCATTCCCCTGGCCATCCATCTGTCCACTTTCATCCCCGATCTATCCATCTACCCATTTATTCATCTGATCACCTATTTGTCCCTCTGCCCGTGTATTTCCCAACCTCCCCTGTCATTGATCCATGCAACCTTCCACTTACTTATCCACCGGTCCATCTAACCACTTACCTATCCTCTCATCAGCCCACTCTCACCCGCACCCACACCCATGCCCCCCTCACACCCACCCACATACATATCTGGTAGATATTTCTGGGTCACTCTGGTGGAGGAGCAGGCCCACGGTAACTGGGCAACAGTTGGGGGAGGGTGGGGAAGGAGAGTAGTACTGAAGCCACAGACTTCCCTCCCCATTCCAATGGTGTGACCTCCCCATCCCCGGCACATCCCTCCCGGTTGGAAAGAATGAGAGTAGACAGTCAGTGGGTGGGCCCGTCTGGCCAGATGGTATTTTGGCTGCAGCCTTTACATACACACACACACACACACACACACACACACACACACACACGTTGCTAGAACGCTAACAAGGACCGCGCCCCACCCAAACATCCCCGATCCCAAATGCAGAGTAGCCAGGCTTCCAGACATAAATTAAAAAATAAAATAAAATAAAAAAGAGTTGGTCTCTGGGGAGGGAGAGCTCATGCAGAGGTGAAGGCAAAGGCCTCTGGGAGCCAGGGCCAAGAAAGATGAGAAATCCCTGCCCCTCCCCTCAGGATCCCCACTCCCCGAGGGCTTTTGCCCTAAAACAGGGTCACTAACACCAACCATCAGGCCTCCAGCCCCTTTAATGTGCAGTCTCCCAACCTATTTGATTTTGGCCCCATTTTCCCACCAGAGCCCAAGGGCAAGTTGTCCTGGGAGGGGGGAGGGGAGGGAGCAGCTGCAGCCTGCAGGTCTTTAGCTGGCTTCTCCTGGTTCTAGGTCTGGGTCAGGCGACCCCACGCACTCCTTGCTGAGCCGCACAATCTCCTGGGAGAGAACTTCAATGTCCTAAGAAAGAAATGAGCCGTCAGGGGCCCGGGCAAAGAGCCGGGGAAGCTCCCTCAGCAAACCTGGGATGTCCTCCTTCCCACCTCATTAATCAAAGCCTATGTCTAGCCTGGCATGGGAAGGTATTTGGAGAGGCTCAGAACCCCAGCGGTGGGCTGGGCTTGGAAAAGATGTGTGTGTCAGGGGTGGTGGTGGTTGGGGGTAGGGAGCCTCCCCGGGGAGGGGGACCCAGGGATACGGATATGGGAGCAAATCACAGATCGCCCACTGGTGTGGTACAGCCGGAGGAAACCACCTTTCCCTTGCCACTGGCTTCTCTACTAAACGGTGAGCTCCTTTCTCAGAGGCAGGGGCTGGGTCTGCATCCTTTCTGACTCCCTCAGAAATGGGGGAAATATTTGGGGAGGGCAGGATGGGCAAGAAGATGTATGGGGTGATCCATGGTAGGCAAATGGGTGGGCTAAGGGACGGTTCAGAGGATGGATGGAGGACAACAGGTAGGCGTGCGGGTCACTAGGCAGGTGGGTAAAAGGTAAGACAAGGGGTGACTGATGAGTAAATGCGAGAGAGAGGGAGGTATGTCAGGAAATAGGAGGAAAGACACGGGGCAGGTGAGTAGATGGGCAAGAAGGGCGGGTTGAGGGGCGAGCTGGGTGAAGTGTGCAGGAAGAGATGAGCAGGTGGGTGCAAGGACAGAGGGGAGAGTAAAAGGCCCAAGGGAGAGTAGGTGAGCTGACCGACTAGAGGGTGGGGAGGTGAGGATGATCAGTGAATGGCGTGGGGGTGGGGTGGGGTGGGGTCTGGGCACCTGCAGATGACGGGGTGGGGGTGCGGGGTGGGGACAGGGGGATGGGACAGGGGGGCCAGCTGTGTGGCATGGGAGGCAGGCAGCTACGCGGACAGATGGGGAGGCCACACTCGCCTTGTGCAAGTGCATGTTCTTGGTGAGCTGCTCCTCCAGCATGTTCTGGAGCTTCTTGTTCATTTCCCGAAGGTTCTCGTCACCTGGCTTCACGAGGTCTCTCAGGACGCTGCCCAGCCCACTGCGGTCCGTGTGGCCTGCCGCCACAGACACATCTGCAAGGGCCCAGGCTGAGAACCCCCCCTCGGCAGAGCCAGAGGAGAGACGAAAGAGGGCAGAGAAGCAGGAAACAGAGAAGGGGGCAAAAAGTAGTGGGGAGAAGCTAAGTGAGGTAGGGGGCGGAGGCTCGGCTGTGTGAAACCTGGCCATCACTTCCTGGCTGTGCGGCCCTGAGAAATGGGGATAATAACCACCTTGGGGAGCTGGCAAGAGGCCCCTGACTGCATGTGTAGCACAGACACACAGTGCTCAGCCTGCGTCAGTCCATGTTCTGACTAAAAAGGGAAAAATGGGGCTAGGAGAAGGTGGGACAGAAAGGAGCAGAAGAAACAAAGATGGAGGGAAGGGGGGAAAAGAGGATAGAAAGTGAGAGAGGAAGAGCTAAGAATCCCTGAAGGGGTACATATGTAGATGAGAAACTTCCAGAACAGACACAGTCCAGACAGGCAGTAGGAGCAGTGAGAGAAGATGAAGGGAGATGAGAAAGAGATGGGGAGAGGAGAGAAGGGAGGGAGAGGGGACAGAAAACCACACTGGAGAAAGGAGAGTGAAGCGATGACAAAGACTCAGAAGGGAAGAGCAGTGGGTCCTGCTCTCCCCTCCAGCAGCTGTGATCTTGTCAGTACCTTTGCTGAGTTGTGAGAGGAGAGGAGACAGTGGGGAAGGAGGCGGCAGGTCAGAGACCGGATGGGGGTAAGGCTGGGGAGGAGGCACTGACCGATCCGGCTATCCATGACATAGGTCTCGATGATGGCACTCTTCCGACAAAGGTCCTCCGCCATGGAGGCACTGCTCACCTCCAGGTGCTTCACCTGCGGGCCAGCCCAGAATGTTCGCACATCATAAGGGGCCCAGCCACACATACCCCCCCGCCCACCCCAGCCTCCCCACCAAGGGTGTGCCAAGTGAGGACAGGGAGGCGGAAGGCACCTTCTCCTCCAGCATCCATTTCTCCTGCTGTGTCTCTGCCAGGCGCTGAAAGAGCTCAGCCACTTCCTCATCAGACAGCTCGGCTGGCCGCGGAGGCTGGGCCTGAGGGCTGCTGGATAAGGACTGCAGGGAAGAGGAGGGGAGAGGCCAGCCCAGGCTCAGCACTGTCGCCTGTCCCAGAGAGGATCATGGGCTGATGGGGGATTCGGGGGGGGGGGCAGTGGGAGTGGAGCACCCATGGGGACTCTGGATCTCCCTTGGTCGAAAGGGGGATAAAGGAACCACCACATCATCTCCTTATTGAGAGGATGAAGGGAGAGCCCGTAGCAAATGTGGGCTCATTTCCAGTTGACCGGAAAACTAGAGGGCAGAGGAATAAGCTCAATGATACCACTAGGAAGCCAGCAAGAGAACCCAAAAGGTGGGACACTTTCTGCGGGTCAACTGGCTGGTTTCTTCTACAGGTTGGTGTCATGAAAACAAACAAACAAACAAACAAACAAAAGAACCCAAATAACAACGGACCACACTAGACTCAAGAGACGTAAAGGACATAAAGCAACCAGATGCAACATGTGATCTGAAACTGAGCGCTGGTTTTCATAAAACCAGCAATCGCTATTTTGGGGCCAACCAGGGAAATCTGATTAAGGTCAAACTACTAGATGAGATGAACATTTACAAGATCAGGAAAATAAAAAGCAGCTGGACAAAAACAGGTTCTTTATAATCTCATTTAGGTTTAAGAAAGAGAGGGACGCCTGGGTGGCTCAGTCGGTTAAGCATCTGATTCTTGGTTTCAGCTCAGGACATGATCTCAG